AGTTTATGCATCTCTCTCTCTCTCTATATATATATATATATATATATATATACATATATATATGTATATATATATACATATATATATATGTGTGTGTGTGTGCATGTGTGTCGACACAAGCTATTTTCCGTTGCTTCCAATCTTTTCAAATTATGTTTGAACTTCAATCAGGGAGAATGAGTATGTTGCGGTCTTATATCAATCTCAAAGGGAAAAACTTACCGGAACAGAATAGAATAACTTGAACCACTTAGTTTCCGGTGGGATAAAATTCACTCTGGTCGATTTTGTGGCCACATTGATAAGGTATAGTCGCCTCTTGTAGGGCTTTTTACAGCTGTTTCGATTTTCAGTTATGTGGAAGTGTACTTCGTTTGGATCTGCTTGAACGAAACTATTTCCCCGTAGCTTGTAAAAGATTTCTTGGAAACATGGGGATGCGGAATTAAGAATTTTCAAATTACCAGTATCAAGCAAATAATTTGCTGGTCCTCCTCTCTCTTCTTTTTCAACCCAATCGGACTCCAACGGGAGTAGAAGATTTCTTGAAGCTAATTCAACCATCGTATTTCGCGCATAGTCTGTCGTTATGGGAAAGAAGCAAGGTATGATATGAAGGTATGGTACTGAAGTGAGCGATTGTATTGAGTACATTGTTTACCATAACAAAATTGAGGTAGTTTTTTCATTACTGATATCTGTATCAGCCAAGATCTATCGACAAAAATGAAGGTTTTAAAACATGATTAGAGCATGTCCCAGACGCTAGTTCAAAGGAGTTGACGTCTTGGCATAACACGCTGTCGCCACTACTACAAATAATTGCGGTATTCAGCGCTTAGTACGCAGATATTTCTGGAACAGTTCACAGTTTTCTTTTGCGTTGCGATTTCGGCAAGAGAGAGTCACACTCATCCATGTGGCTATTGCTTTTCAGATTACACCACGGTAATTGATTTTAGTTGGAGTTGACATGTTCTACTTATTATCTTCAACTTCGTGTTAATTTCCATTTTGGCAGTGACTCTACTTTTCCATGAGGATTTGAGCTCTCGGTTTAATCCCAGACATTAAGTTTTAAGCAGGTGACATTGCACTGCTGGGAAAACTTTAAGTAAGCTTTAAGCTTTTGAAATATTTAAAAGAAAGTAGAGCTATATCTTGCAGTTTGCGCAACCTTAAAGTGAAAAATGCTGTTAGATGATGGAGTTGACCCGGTGCCGCATTTCATTCCAACAGGGAAGACAACGGAAAAGTGACATCGACCACAGACGACAATATCGAATACTGTTGGAACTGTCTACGGAGCATTGCGCTCTTTTGGAAAGCTTGAATGCCAGTGTAGCCATGTTTGGTATAGGTTTTACATCTTCAAAGTGCAAAATGTTACTACAAGACTGGGTTGGCCCAGCACCTAGGCTCATCCTGACTGGGGAAGTAATAGAGAAGGTGGATAAGTCTTGTTATTTGGGCAGCTACATCTCACCCGGTGGACACATCATGGATGAAGTATCTGCTCGCATACAGAAAGCTCGGTTGGCATTTACCAACTTGAAACATCTGTGGCGCCGTCGCGACATCCGGTTGTCTGTGAAGGGTCGAATGTATGCCACGGCAGTTCGGCCAGTTCTGCTATACGATGCAGAAACTTGACCCATAAGGAAGCAGGATAACGTTAGACAGATTGCATGAATCTGATGGGTCAGCCGGATGAGCAATACTGAGGTTAGTCGCAGAGTTTAGGTATCCGCGGTCGCCCACCGAAGTAAGCGGTCGACCTGCATAGATTATGTTAGTTGGGGCATGTATTACGCATGTCACTATATAGGTTGCCATGGCGGGCAATGTTCGCTGAGGCAAGCTGCGGGTGGAAAAAAGCCAAGGGTGGTCAAACTGAGACCTGACATGAGGGTATAAAACCCCTGACCAGGGTACTTGGTCACATAAGTTCGGTTAGGCTCCCTGGATGGGGACCTCGGGATGATCGTAACCGATGGTTAGAAACACTGGATGATATGGCTGAGTGTCATAAACAGTGGCGTTCTCGCATCTTCTCAATTTCTTTGCAACCTTTGACCACCGAAATTCTCCATTTTTTGTTCGCCCCTACTTTCGATTTTCCTGCCTTCTCCTATTCTTCATCCCAATGAGCAGCCAAAAGACATTAACCAAAACCGGCACACGAAAGTGCATGGTTAATGGTTGTATAAAGTGTACTGAACTGACTGCGCTTTTCCAATGAAAAATACAATGACGAGGTTAGACGTGTAATTTTAGATCATCACGATCGCGTACTAATGAAAGTGCTTATTTACGGTGTTTGAGGAAAAGGTTTTACATTTTACCAGATGAGTTTCATCATCAGGCAGTGTTTTCAATTTTGATCTGTGGAAGCTTTTGCATGCACAACTGTCCTTCTTTCAGCTGAGAATTATCTGTCACCTTAACGATACCAGGGAAATAGTAATTGGCAAATACTCACCTTCAAAGTTTGCCGAGAAAATCTTCAGAAACCCGCACCCCAATTGTGAACATTTTAGTAAGATAGAGAACAGTAGAATTTCTGAAAATGTCAAAGTGGAAAGATAAGAAACAAAGTGAGAAACGTTTAAAATTGTGAGTGGCCCTTGAATAGATCGTCATTTAGAGAATGAGTGGGATAAGAAAGGCAATTGGGCAGGCAGTAGTTGGAGAAAGGTCAAGTGCGATTAATCTTAATCCGGCACGTGTACGTGAAATTCCTGTCCAGAAGCAGTGACCATATAGATGGCGTTAAGGTTCTTTTGGGACAAACCGCGACTGACATAATTGGGGAACTGATTGATGTGGCTTGGTGCCGTAAACAGTGACAATTGCGCATTCACTGGCCTCCAATCAGAGTTAGTTTCCATACGTTCTGTATTTTCAATCTTCACAATTTTGTCGGAGTTTTGCCACTCGCATTTACCCCTGTCCGTTAAAATCTCATAAAGGCAAATAGTACAGAACTGACAACAGAGACGAATTGTAAACACACGAAATTTCATTGTACTTCTTATTCCCCTCACCAACTAGCTCCCCTTGTTTTCTTGCATACAGTTCTCCCTCTTCTCGTTTCCACTGTTGTTGACAGCAGAGATATATATACCGCGGCAGATGGAAAGCATGACTGACCGAAAGACAAAAACGGAAACCGTCACATAACAGTTACCGTTTGTCGTCATCTTAGTGAGATGATTATTTTAATATTACCTTACAGAGGAGGAGTTTTTTTTATCTAAGATAAAACCTGATATTTTTTCAAAATTTTAGATCAAGGTTTAGGTTTCAACCTCAAAGCATAAGAAGACTCTAATTCCATTAAATCCGTGTTTTTTTTAATTTTCAGGCAAAGTGCTATTTTATAGAGTTCTGGTACCTGTTTGATTTACTGCACTTAGAAGAGAAGTTTGCAGACCAGTTGTGGATAAACACCAATTGGTGGGAAGCACAAAACTCCCTGAGCTACATTTCAGACAGATTGGCTTAAAATTTATCAGTGCAGTATAAGACGGAATAGTTATATCGTATGAATACAGCTGTTATATATACATCAGCATTCATATTTGAGTAAAAACAGCTGTGTTTCTGAATGGATGACTTCACTTTCCTATACTTTTCAGATATTATCGATTATTATGTTAATTATCACTATATTTTACCTACGTCCAGACATGCAATAACCAAGGCCTGTGCACCTTAATAGTCCACGTTACAACTTCCCCCAATTACTTTTACACTACGGCAACCTCTTACCTGCTCGTTTCCCGATTCCCGAAAACCTTTTGTATTCTTGCCATTCAAAAATACTCAGCTTAGAGATCGCATTATTATCATTACTGTTCCTGCTATTAGTTTAAAAATTCAATAAGTTTGAAAACTAGATAACCCTCTTTGGCTAAAAAGAAGCAGAACTTTTCAAGAAGGTATACTTGAATGGAAAACCAATTGATAAAAAGCAGTATTTTATTCATGATAAAGGTAAAATACATTGCTGAATAGTCAGAGCGTATAACATTGCGAGGAGTCAGAAGTGGAAATTTATTTCTGCATTGGATTGTTGCATCACACTAACATAATTCGGTAATCTCCAAAACCTACATGGCAATCTTTCAACTGCTTCCCCCAAGCTGTTAATGCAGAAAATCCTCTGCCTTCTACTTAAGGTTGATGCTTCAGATCTTGACCGTTAAACTTGTTCAAGAGAATGTTTGAAGCTAATATGTCATCGGAAATTAGATTGGTAAATAAGCCTATATATTCCAACTCACTGGATTCTGAGAGGGAAGGTTTGGAGATAAGATATTTTGGGGCCAATAACCTGATTCGCTATTAGTAAAAACGATAACTGAACGAAATTGAATTGATAGTTTGGGTGATCACCGACGTGAATAGTTTTACACAGTAGTAATACAAATCATGCATGAAATGTGTTTAGACTTCAAATCCATTGGAGGACAGCGTATGCGCACTACTAATGAGCACGAATGAGAGCGAAACTTGACTCCAGTGCCTTCTGAGCGTATGGCTAACTATATGAACTGAGGATAGTATGTGAAGATGACGTCTGAAGGATGTTCAATATAAATCCATGAGATATAAATCTGGTAATTTGTTTTATTGGAACAGCTTATTCCATCTTGCTTGTCTGATTTGGATGTACGGAGATCGGAGGTGCTCAATCGGGGATAAAAGACAAATTGTGTCGAGGGCACCGCTTGTATATCTATTCTTGAGGACGTCCGTGAACAATTATCTTTCATAGAGGTGTACGAAGAGACAACTAAAATACGTTGTTAATCTTGTTCTTTTGGTCCTTCATTATTGTTTATTTTATGCGTCATTCTCTTCCGTACCCCGATCTATAATTAGATTTTCGTGGGTACCATGCTTAATCACAAGCCGAAGATTTTTGTGTGTGGCAGTCTTGAGAACAACGGTGCTGATATTTTTATAGCCCGGATAGTTTAACTTGATGTTCTGCTGTTTGTTAAGCTCGACACTTATACTTCAAACATTTTATCATTTGATTTGGCATTCTCAATGCAGTTAACTAACGGTTAATGTCTGATCGCAATAAATTGAATGACTTCAGCGATTTGAAACAATAGTATCCGCAAATCGACTAAGTGGCGCTTATCGCTCATCCTCGTCTTTGTTGACAACAGAGAAAGACTTCTGAAGATGCACAATTCATCATTTTATAAAATCTTGAAGTTAATTCAATCCATCAGACTTCACCTTCACTCACATTCCTTAGCTGTTTCAGTCAACCATACACACGAAAGTAGTAAATGTGAGTTTTGCTCTGACTAGAGCTCATCAGTAATGAATATCTACAGTCCTGTTCGGGATTTGAACTCCAGATCCATCGCATGGGAGATGTGTGTGTTATCACTGTGCTGACCACCAGAACAGAATTGCCAATTCATGTTTGTTCAGGTATCGTCTTCAGCGATAGTCAATCAATTCACTTTGGCCCGAGAGCAAAGAAGGGCGACACAGTTAAATATCTGTTAACTCCGAGTGAAAGCCTCCCACCAAAT